GTACCGCCGTGATGTTATGCAAAACATTTTGTTTTACGTGGATATTGGAACGCGAGTGAAGTACATAATAAATAATATTTTGGCATTCAAATACATCGCGAATACGGAAACATTTGATTTTGTCGAATGGGAGACCCAACTTTGGTTTCAGTTTTGTTTTAGCCTAAATGAATTCGTTTTGGCTTGTCGTTTACGTATATTGCTATAGCTTCTTATATTTTTAATTCTCGTTCTTTTCTAAATACTGTTAATTGAAAGGCTTTGTTGTGGAGTGAGGGGAACTAAAATAGCCTAGCTATGTTTACAGTGTTTATTATAATGTTTGTAAACATTTTGCGTCGGCATTAGGCATTTCTGAATTAAATAAAAAAATGCGACTTAGGCTATACGCGACTTGTATTTTTTCCCCCTAAAAAACACTTTATTTATTTTAAATAAAATGCTATTTTAACCATGCAGCAAACCTTTTTAAATATTTTGATAAATTACTGAAAAAATAAATAATTAAATGACTTTTTAAACCATTTAACTGATTGTATTAATCGGTCAAAATTCTTATGGTCGGTTAACCGGTTAAAATGAACATCCCTAGCCTAGACAAAAGATTTGACCAATCAAGCATCACGTAGACTGGCTTGTTGTAACAGCCACACTTACTTAAGAATCATGTTCATAGTCTCGTTCCTATCTTTTCCTTGGAACGGTAACGTGCCGGTCAGCATTTCAAACTAGGGGAAAAGACAAACAAAAAACCATAAATAAATAAATCAATGACTGTCAAACAAGGCAAATCAACCAGACATTTACACGGGTAAGTTATCAAAGCACTATGGGAATCCAATGTGTGACTTCAATGCATATGTTCTCTTTCAGTCAATTCACTCAGTACAACACAGATATCATGTGTCACACTAAAGACACCTCAAACGTCTCTGTGCTTTTTTTCTGTCCACATAGTGGAGGTCAAAAGAATTCACAGCAGCATTCTTCACAATATCTTCTTTAGTGTTCCACAGGAGAAGTCGTCATACAGGTTTGGAACGTCATGAGGGAGAGGAAATAGTGACAGAACTGTCATTTATGGGTGGACTGTCTCTTCAACTCAGTAACGGCAAGACCAGGCCATGACTGAGAGTGCAAAACAAGAGCACAGACAACAACACAATTACACCTATACATTCTGAAAGAGAAATTCAAACTTTAGGAAACTATAGGATACACACCAAAGTGAGTCCAATTCTGCCACCAGGGGGAACTATTTTATTGAGGAATTTTTGATTTTGTTATAGCCTAAATATGGACTGGAAAAATCTAAAAAAAATATATATATATATTTCAGCAGCCAATCAAATTTCAGCAGAAAATAACTTTAAGAACTATCATGAACTGAATGGCATATCACTGTAATATGCATAGAAATTCGTCCAGGTGAAGCAGTGTACTGAATTTAAGAAGCTAATTTACATGTTTACTAACAACACTCCTTCAGTTCCCTGCATGCATTACCAAACGACAGAAATTTCCTGGCACTTTTATTTTTATTGCTTTTGAAACTGGTCACAGATTGTTTGCTCCATATCAATTGTGCCATATTCACTCTTCAGCAGGAGAGCAGTGCCTGGCATCCAGAGGACCTCAGGTGAGAGAACGGGTCCATACAACAGAGACAACACACACGTTACACTCCCATATACCTAAAGTAGGGATGCACCGATATTAACATTTTGGCCGATACCGATAACTGATCATTTTTTTTATTTGAAAGTCGATGACCGATATGTTGGCTGATAAATCTATATCCACATTTTTATATACTTTTTGAGAGCCTGATTATAAAAAAAGTTCTCATCATTAAAAGCCACATCCCAAACACTTCAACATAAGCAGTTTGAACAGTGTACGTTTTAAAAAATAATTTTACTCTCCTATTACTAAATTTCATCATAAAAAGTCTTACAAATAAATAAAATAATGCATAAATAATGCAAACAAGTCATCTCATGTCAAGTGTCTCTGAAGGAAACAATGCATTATTTATCGGCTTTAAGATATCGGCCAAATTTTCTTATCGGGCCGATACCGATAACAGAAAAAATGAGCATTTATCGGCCTAAACCGATATGGTGGCCGATATATCGTGCATCCCTAACCTAAAGATTGACCGATATTCTATGTTTTAAAACCGATACCGATTATTTGCATGTTAGTGTGAACGGCAACCAATATACGTAACCAATATTTATTTATTGTTTACAATGATAAAAACAGTACTGAACTGAACATGTATTTTAGTTATAATGCTGTCAATACTGTAATTTCCCTCCCTCCTTGCAAACACAACAAAACAACTCTTATTTCTACATACAGTGGCTAAAATATCAGGAAAAGTATCGGTTAAACCGATTATCGGTCGACAGGCTTCAGCTGCGCTTCAGCTGAGAGTGGATCCCATGCTATCCATGTGCACCTTGTTCCTTGTCTTCAGAGAACAGTGTTGCATATATAGCTTTACATTTTCCAGTCATGCTCATTAGGGGAGAGATAAAACCATTAAGGTCCTACCATTAAGACGCCGAGAGACCACCAGTCAGCGCTCTGCGTGTGACCTCTCCGGTTGACCACCTCAGGGGACATATACTCCACAGTGCCACAGAACGAGTACGCTTTTTTGTCCTGATCTACCGATTCTTTACTGAGCCCAAAGTCTGGAAAAGGCACAGCAGCACATCGGTCACATCTGCATCACCAAGCTAAACCAGGGGTGTCCAACTCTGCTCCTGGAGTCACTGTCCCGCAGAGTTTATCGAGGATTACGTGAAAACTACAGACAGGAGCCGACGGCCCTCCAGCAGCAGAGCTTGACAAACAACCCCACACATGACTCAATCATTTTAGAGAATCAAACATTACAGAATTGCCTGATATCTACATGCACAAGTTCAACAGGCAGGGAAGTGATGTGTAATAAGGGGACAACGGTGCGTACCTGTTAACTTGATATGTCCAGCTTCATCAAGCAAAATGCTGAAAATTAAGACCACATTTCTCCAATACAGATACAAAAATACATGAACTAAACAAGAGTCAACAAACAAAATCCAAAACCTCTCGATTACAATCTTGAACATTGGTTCTGTCAGATAAATCCATCCTTATTTAATAAAAGATCAAAAGGAGAGGGCAGGTGAAAGCCAGAGACGGAGACAGAAAGTGGTTTCTACTCTACACACAGAGAGAGAGAAGCGGAGAGGTGAAGGGGGATACTTTACTTTTCAGGCTTCAGGTCTCTGTAAACAATGCCTAGGTTGTGTAGATGATCCAATGCAAGGGCCAGCTCTGCAAGGTAGAATTTCACATCCTCCTCTGTAAACATAACCTAGTAAGAACTGGACAGATTTACTCTCGCATCAAAGATCACAAACAACAACATAATGCACAGCATCATAATGACAGAGATAGAAAGAAGCCAAATTAATATCAATTTGCGACAGGGTGGGGGGGGAACAATTAATGCACACTAAATAATCTGATAACACACAAATCTAGTTTTACTTTAGGAACTAATTAACACATCATTTTTTTATACAATGCATTTACTGGCAAATGCAACTGAAAACTGCATTTGAAAACAGTGCATATGAGTTTTTACACTGCCTCCACATTATTAGGTGTTTACATGCACTCATTCTTAATCCAACTGAATCCAATCTGATTTCAGAATCTGAAAGTTCTGTTTATATGAATCCATATGATTCACATGTACATTCGTTTACATTTTGCCACATTCAGGAACGGAGAAAACAAATGTGATAATGTCACTTTTTGCCTTAAAGGGGTCATATGATGCGATTTCAAGTTTTCCTTTCTCTTTGGAGTGTTACAAGCTGATTGTGCATAGATAAGATCCCTGAAGTTGCAAAGACTAAAGTCTCAAAACCAAAGAGATATTCTTTATCAAAGTTAAGACTCTGCCACGCCCCCCTAAAACGGCTCGTTCTAACACGCCCCACATATCTACCTCACTATGTGGAAATATTAGCACAATGCGGCCCAAATGTGCACGCAAAGAAAGAAGGCATGGTGTCAGTAACCGCAGTTAGTGTTGAAGCAGCCATGTCAAGGAGACGCTGTGTGTTTCTAGGCGAAAGCAAAAACACTTTATTTGGCCTTCCGAAAGTAGATGCATTAAGATTACTTACAACAGAACAGCAATGCATTTTATGGACGACCGTTTCGTGAACCTAGGAGAGGAGGTAATTCTCCACACATGACTCAATCATTTTAGAGAATTCAGGGTGAGATGCTAACAGTAGATGTCAAACATTACAGAATTGCCTGATATCTACATGCACAAGTTCAACAGGCAGGGAAGTGATGTGTAATAAGGGGACAACGGTGCGTACCTGTTAACTTGATATGTCCAGCTTCATCAAGCAAAATGCTGAAAATTAAGACCACATTTCTCCAATACAGATACAAAAATACATGAACTAAACAAGAGTCAACAAACAACATCCAAAACCTCTCGATTACAATCTTGAACATTGGTTCTGTCAGATATATCCATCCTTATTTAATAAAAGATCAAAAGGAGAGGGCAGGTGAAAGCCAGAGACGGAGACAGAAAGTGGTTTCTACTCTACACACAGAGAGAGAGAAGCGGAGAGGTGAAGGGGGATACTTTACTTTTCAGGCTTCAGGTCTCTGTAAACAATGCCTAGGTTGTGTAGATGATCCAATGCAAGGGCCAGCTCTGCAAGGTAGAATTTCACATCCTCCTCTGTAAACATAACCTAGTAAGAACTGGACAGATTTACTCTCGCATCAAAGATCACAAACAACAACATAATGCACAGCATCATAATGACAGAGATAGAAAGAAGCCAAATTAATATCAATTTGCGACAGGGTGGGGGGGAACAATTAATGCACACTAAATAATCTGATAACACACAAATCTAGTTTTACTTTAGGAACTAATTAACACATCATTTTTTTATACAATGCATTTACTGGCAAATGCAACTGAAAACTGCATTTGAAAACAGTGCATATGAGTTTTTACACTGCCTCCACATTATTAGGTGTTTACATGCACTCATTCTTAATCCAACTGAATCCAATCTGATTTCAGAATCTGAAAGTTCTGTTTATATGAATCCATATGATTCACATGTACATTCGTTTACATGTTGCCACATTCAGGAACGGAGAAAACAAATGTGATAATGTCACTTTTTGCCTTAAAGGGGTCATATGATGCGATTTCAAGTTTTCCTTTCTCTTTGGAGTGTTACAAGCTGATTGTGCATAGATAAGATCCCTGAAGTTGCAAAGACTAAAGTCTCAAAACCAAAGAGATATTCTTTATCAAAGTTAAGACTCTGCCACGCCCCCCTAAAACGGCTCATTCTAACACGCCCCCAGTGTGTGTGTGTGTGTGTGTGTGTTTGTGTGTGCGAGCGAGAGAGAGAGAGAGAGAGCGAGAGAGGGAGCGAGAGAGAGAGAGAGAGACGGGGTCACATCACAGTGGAGTCAGCTGTCACATACCACAATGCAAACACATACCAGCTTCATCACGGTGTCTGTCACGCGACTCTGTTCCCCTTCCGGGCTCTGTCTTTACATTTATTTTGAAAGCTGAAGCTCGCGATTATGGTAAGGGGCGTTACATTTCCGACGAGTGCTTGCGGTGTTCGGCCAATCACAATGCACTGGGTCAGCTGGCCAATCAGAGCAGACTGCGCTTGTCGGAAGGAGGGACTTTGTAGAAAACGAAGTGTTTGAGAGAGGCGGGGCATAGAGGACCTACAATAATGTACAGTATTTGAAAAATAATGTGTTTTTTGAACATTAAAGCATGTCAACATATTCTGTTACACCAAATACACCAAATAATGATCTTTAAAAAAGCATCATATGACCCCTTTAATGAAATGTCTAAGAATAAAACTGATATGTATATATCAAAGGAGCTTTTTTTAACAAATATTTAATCTCCTCCACTGAGCAGTTCATAAGATGTACATAAATACACACATACTTGTAAGACATAAGATGTAATTAAATATGCATGAGGTGTTTTTGAATCTGAAGCCTCAATCTCTAATGTAAGAGTCGATTCAATTAAACTTTTGTGGCAACTTTTGTGCCTGGTGGCGACGGTGCACATAAAACAACGTTTTCAAAACAGAAAAAAGTACAGTACATATGTACAAATAAATAAATAGAGAAACCAATAAATAGAAAAAAAAATTATTTGAAACAATTGTCTGGCAATGTACACAGACTAAAGACCTGATAACAATCACTGCAAATTTTCACTGTGACTAAAAAATGAATCAGTTCTCATCTGTGGATCCCAACACACTGACTGCAAAATAGAATCATTTTCAGCCAACTTTTTCCGATAGGTAGAGAAAAAAAAACCTTACTGACTAATAGGATATAAGCTTTTGGGTTTCACAGCACGATACAGGAGATATCATTACAGATTAGCTGTATTTTGCATTAGAGAATAAATCTGTGTCAAATGAGTCCTGCACTAAAGCATGCAAATGAACTTAAGACAATTGCACTCTGGATGAAATTCTGGGTGATTTGCGCATATAATTTTTGAACAAGAGATGCTTACCTCTTTGGATAAACGAGTAAATACATCCCCACCCCTGAGAAAATCCAAAATTAAATAGAGTTTCCCTTCTGTCTGAAAGGCTGGAAGTGAAAAAAAAAAAAAAACAATATCAGAGCTGGGGAATTATGGGGAATTCTATGGAAATGTCAATCATACCACGAAAAATAAATAAATAAAGCAAGCAAAGGAACAAAATAACTTTTAAACTGTCCCTTTAAGTTTATATTCATAGTATATAATGGGTTTTTTTTTCACATACATTTAAGTATATTTTATGGTTTCAAAATAAAACATGGTATCAGCATCTTTCCGTTAGACAGAGAAACGGTCATAACTGTACTGCTTTCTGAATTCATAAGAGCCACATTTACAAAGTGACTGGGCTCAAGTGATGCTGTAAACTTCTATGCAAAGCAAACGGTCTGGAATGTGTAAGTTTCACCAAAATGGGCTGAAATGATCACTGGACAGATCTGGACACAGGGCTGACCAAACCAAGATGAAGTTTGGTTTACTTTATTGGCATTACGATCTGAAGAAACCTGCCAAGTTTGGTGACAGCACCACCTACAGGTCACGAGATCTGTTTTTGTAAATACACTTTAGAAACACTTATCCTAAACTAATGCATTTCTATCACCAGAAGCGGACAATATCAACAAGTGCATTATGTTTTCACTGCAAATTGTCTGTAACGTTCAAATTCCTCCTCAAAATCTACATCTTGTCACACAGCCCCATAACCATCACTCAGAAGGTTTCTCCAAGAGTCTTACCATAGTGCAACTTCACAATGAAAGGATGATTGACCTCCACCAGAATATCTCTCTCCATCTTAGTGCGAACTCTGTCCCTCACTGCAACACAACACACACAAACGAGGAATAAACACGAGTATATCATCACAAAAGTGTGTTGGCACTAATGCAGACACTCACTGACCTTTTAAAGATGCCTTTTTGAGCACCTTCATTGCATAAAGCTGACCGGCATCCGGACCCATCAACTTCCGCACCAAAAACACCTGAGGACAGGACAGATCACATGAAAACAAAACCTGATAGCTTGCAACAGGGACAAATGCACTGGCTGCCACGCAAACTGACTGTATTACGGTGCTAGTAAACCGTAAACTGGCTTTTTTGCAAGCTGGCTCCAGTGAAACAGCGGACTGCAGGTTCCTCTTGACAATGGATCTCGCAGCTTCACCAACAGCTCAGGTGTCGCATCAGAGCCAAGGTAGTGCTTGAGGTGCATTGGTCATACAGTAAGTTTCTTTGCACAGCTATGTAATATTAACACTCCTGCACATGATCAGTCACTCCTTGCTAATGTTGATATCATTCTGAATGTTCTGAAGAGTAGTTTATTTTGAACTGCAAAAACAGACAGAAACACCAGCTGCACTGTTTATCAAAAAATGTTGTTTCCCATGTAAATACTCTAACCTGTTAACATGAGCAGCAGAAAAAGCATGCGCCGCTCACTCTTTCGATGTAAAACCTTGTAATCAAAATGCACAGCAGCAGTCTAAAGCCCCGTTCACACCGCCAGCGACTTTTTCGCTGTATGTCGCTAGACTCCGTGCTGTGAAGACGCTTGTGGGCGTTCCTACTGCTGTAGCTCTAATGTTATTGGTAGACTGCACGTCTCAGAACACTGAGGAACTTTTGCCTATGGTCTTAACAAAAAAAATACCACAGCAAAAACAACAAGACTAATATAAAATTCAAACATTAAATTGTTAAAGACAAGTAAACAGTCAGTAATAAAATGGGAACAAACAAATCAATATCCAATTGCATAAATACATCTGTTATCATTACTTAGGAAGCCACAAGATCAGGCTTCTAATGCTACTGTATTCATTTATAGTAATAATGTTAGTTGCTAAATGCACAGATAAAGTATTAAGACTCAAAAAGAAAACAAATAACACTAAAGACAGATTTATAACATGACTGGTAATTAGGCCTGGATACAGGGCTTTCGCTATACAGAGCACAAGGAAACAAATTATTCATTATCTTTGGGTGCATCAAACAAAAAATAAAAACATTTCAGAGGAAACAGCACTTCTCAGGTAAAGCACATTTAAGACAGGAACCCAAGTGTATGACTGTATTCTAATAAGCACAGATCAATCAGCTGCCACAGCAAAAATGAGACCAGTTTTGATTTGTATAATTGACAACTGAGACATAATATTTAAAACTTGAGATCTGAGGTCGAGAAAAAAATATTTGAAACTTCAATAAATCAAACCTGGAACTGAAAATACCACTTTAATTTCTATACTGCTAATGTCTAAGATTTCCTGCTATTATTATGTTGCTATGTTAAATAGTTTTCCAGTCATTTTGGAGTCATGTGCAAATGAGTGTCTTCACAGTAAGAACTGCTGCAGCCACTGCATTTACTAAATAAATCATTCGAAGACAGATGCTTTGTTCTCCCTGTTGTACAAATATCACACCAAACCATGAAGTTTGTGCACCAACTGTTAACACATATGAAGTGAAAGAATCACAGACCTTCCCAAAGGAGCCTTGTCCCAAAACCTTGAGCAGCTCAAACTGGCTGGGCTCGGCCTTCTCACAGCCCTCCTTCACATGATGAGTGATGGGAATCTCTTTATAAGCGCCCTCGTCCTGCACACACAACACAAACACACACATATATCCTGACAAGTGTCTGGAGGACAGCGTTCAAAATGCAAAACCAATCTAGATTACTTACAGGATTTCATGTGACTCAGCTGATGGACACCAGTTTGTTTATTTTCATCAGAAATAAAATGGTTTTATTAGTTACTATTAACTTTATTCAGTATTATTCAAAAACAATTTCATAAAAGCTTGTGGTAAGTGGATGTGGGTTTGTAATGGTCAATGCAGATATCTTCGCCAATTTACACGCAGTCTTAATATTTAGTTAAATAATGCAAATGCATTTTTAACTGTGGCTTAAGTTTCCAAATACTTTGGGGCCTCTGTATATGATATATCACAATTTAACTTAAAGATAGTAAATAAAATGCTCACCATTGCTGCAATAAAAATATTTATTTTACATAATTGAAATTATTTCGAAATGACGACTAAGACTTTTCCTTGATTATCTTCTCTATACATACTAGAGATGCACCGATTTCCTCATGATCGGCCCGGATCAGTCTCACTTCTTTCCGATTCCAAGCCGATCCGATCCGTTTTGTTACCAGCGGCACGGGCAATAACGTCAGCTGCGCATTCAAACTGAGTGGCTAACTGCGCTAAAACGTTCAAAAACATACAAAATTATGTCAAAATGCCCATCTTGGCGAGTATCCAGTTAAACACACTCAGTTTAGGAACGTTAAATAGTTGAGAAAGAACTTACTTAACCTGAAAAACTTAGTTTCATAGCTCTCTTTATTCTATTGCATTTATCTGTGCTATTGTTTGCCATTTTTGTATTTGTTCTTATTTTATTACTGACTTTTTACTTGTGTTTTTTTTTTTATGAAAATAAAACTTTGCGTTGAAGTAAAGTAGATTATTGTTTGTATATGCTGTCAATTATAGTTCTTAGAAAGAAAATCGGAATCAGCAAAAATCGGTATCGGCAGATCACACTAACAAAAAATCGGAAATCGGCCAAGAAAATTGCAATCGGTGCATCTCTAATACATACATAACTACTGTTATATGTTTAACTGCTTTAACATTACATTCTAATATACAGTATAAGGCTGTTACGACAATAACATTTTAGATACCAGAGAAATTTCACAATTCTCAATTTCAATACCAAAAGCCAAAATGTCTAGCCTAATTAATATAACATTCAAACATCTTAAAGACAAGTACTCAGTAATAACATAAGAACAAATAAATTACAACCAGGAACACAGTATATTTGTGCAATGTCTGAGAGGAGATTTTAGCAGTGCATGAGTATTGAATTGAGTTCTCTGTGCATCCTCTTGCACTTAAATGACCTGTACGCACAAGTGTTTATACTGCCAATACTTTCAAACACCTGCCAATTATAAGCATGTATGACGACGATGGGCATTAAAAAAGCCAGATGTTGAAACCCTGATCTCCAGTGAGTGGAATCATGGAGCGATTGAGAGAGAGAAAGCAGATACTCACACAGTGTGTGTAGGACTCCTCCTCCATCGGCTCATCCATCATCTGATGTCCATTCACCTGAAACACACACAAACCACACACAGCACATCAGGCTTCTCACAGGACAGCAGCACCAGGCATCATTCGCTCTCATTAACAATTATCTTTTTCAATGGATTTTTTCTTTTGATTAGTCAATTAATTTTTCCAAATAAATCTATCAATATCTTTATGATTAGTTGATTAGCTTAATTCACTGGTTAACTTACCAATTATGATAACTAACTTCTGCTATTACATTTTTATTCAAATATTTCCCAACACACACACAGTCTCATAGCATTATTTATGCATTTGCAGTGTAAATATCTCAATTGTCTGTGCCAATTTTGCAGTTAATTTTATTTGATCGGTAACAACCTATATATATATATATATATATATTAGGGCTGTCAATCGATTACAATTTTGAATCTGATTAATCGCATCCTTTTTTCAGTGATTAAATCGCACACTTCATGAAATTAAGCATAGATCATTATTTGCTATATCCAGCAAAGTAAACCAAAAGATTGAAGGGTGATTCTCAAAAATCTTTATTTTCTGCAAGTTTTTTTCAAGTTAAATGTAGATGACTTTCCAAAAAAGGACACTTAGAAACTCCAAAAGGACACTAAAGAACCAAATGATATAAGGAGCCCATATAAGCACATATGAAAGAAAAGAAAAAAATCTGAATTTTATTAGTATGTGTACAGTGCAACACCAACAAGCTTTTTTACATTTTAGAGAAGCCAAGTTGTGATACTGAACAGGACCACATGGAGATGACAAAAAAACCTAAACCAACCGCCTGCTGACTGCATATATCTACTACAGTACACGGATCCATTCAGAATAACTAAACACAGCAACATACACATGACAAATCAAAACATTATCGTGAATGTGTGTGGAAACAACGTGAATGTACGGAAATGTCTGTGC